GTGTGAGGAGTGGGGTGTGGACTTGTGGGATGTGGGATGAGAAAGTGCATTTCCGATGGATTCTGCCTCCTTCCTCCTTTTCAATGCAGTTCCAGACCGTCTGGTATCACCTGAAACGGAAAACGTGCCAGAGGTGCCAGGACTCACCTGCAGGCTGGAGATCATCCTCCTGGCCTCCTCCATCTCCCTCTCCAGCTGCTCCTGCTGCTCCAGCAGCTGGTCCTCCCAGGAGCTGCCCTCCCCCGCCCCCACAGGCCCGCCCAGCGGCGCCATCACCAGCACCTCTGAGGAAGGAAGAAAGGAGGCCTGAGCTCACAAACACAGCCACTTGAGGGCCGTGCTAGGAGCTGTCTGCACCAGGGTGTTCACAGTAACAGACTCCAGGACAGCTCAAGTTCAAGTCTGGGAAAAGCCAACCCAGGCTCCTGCCAGGAGCCAACAATGACCACACTGAGCTCATGATCGGCACAAACTGGGAGCTCCAACTCAAAGCATTCAGCTCGGGGTTAGCTTTACAAACTTTTCTACCTAGAGAATACCTACAGAATCCAGAGGAAAGTCCAAAAGCAGTCAATCATATTTTAGTTGGTATCCTACAGTATACTGTGGGTGCTGTCTGTGATTAAGTAATTTTTCACTCAACTAACAGCTTTTCTGCAGGTTTATAGTCTTCACTAAAACAGGCAAGGTCAACTCACATAACAGATAACAGTTAAATAATATGAGAAAGGTTCCATAAAATTTTCCTAAATTTAAAACTAAGCATAGACAGAAAGATGGATCGATAATAAGTGTCCTATTGGCCTGTTGTGCTTCTTCTTTGTGCTGACAGGATGTTCTCTCACGGACGGGTCTCACCTGCTTTGCAACGAGCCTCCTCTAGCTGGGCGCTGAGTTTCGCCTCCTGGCTCTCTGATTGGCCAACGGCGAGCTCTCCCTTGGGGGTGTGAGCTGGGCTGGGGGAGCTCAGACTGGAGGAGGAGAGAGAGAGAGAGAGAGATGGATGGATGGGTGAACAGCAGCAGGGACACCAGACACCGGTGGCAAACTGACACCTGCAAGAAACTGACTCCCTGTCACAGTGTCACAAGAGTCAGACCCCAGATTCCAACAGGAGACACATTCTCACCACCCAGTGCCTTCCCACAGCCTGACCTACCATTTTATAATAATAATAATAATAATAATAATAATAATAATAGCATTTTATTTATAATCCATTTTCATAAGTCTCATAATTCATTCTCAAAGTGCAATAAAATTAAATATATGGAACCCAAATTAACAAACAAAATAAAGTGCAGTAAATTAATCGGAATTAAAGGATAGGATGCTGAAGGACTAGAGCAGTGGGTTGGAATGCAATAGGGGCTAATCACTCTGAATATCAGAGTACACTGCAAATATACTGCATACCGAACAGGACGGCCTCAATATCCCCTCACACGGCCAGGAGACTGGTCTGGAACTGGTAGACCAAGCAGACCAGTAGGTGGCGCACTTTCTTGCAAATACCAAGAGTGGTGACATGCCACAGGGCGTGACAACTTTCCGAATGGGACCTTTAACTGCGCCCTTCTTTCCAAAACTGAAATTTTTTTTGTTGTTTTTTCTCGTTATTGTTGTTTTTAAACATCCAAGTGTTTAACTCTGGTGTCATAGGCCAAATCTAAAAAAAAAAAAAAAAAAACGGGCTGTAAAATCCCTACTGCTGCCTAAAATAGGATTGGGAACTAGGAAGAAAAGTAGATGAAACGTACGGGGGCTTCCCAGTTAAAAGAATTCCAGCCTGCGGGGGTTTGCAGCTGGCATGTGGGCGGGACAGGAAATGCCTGAGAACCCTGACATGTGCAGAACAAGGCTGGCGGGAAGGAACTACCACCCCAGAGACCCTGTCCTCACTCAGCACAGACAGGCCATCTGGCCGCCAGGAAAGAGAATCACACACAGAGAGGCTTGGTGAAAGCCGGGAGCCGAGCTGAGCCCAGAGAGCACCCCCAGCTCCTCCTCGGGGAGGCCTGTGATGCATTAATCCCGTCTCAGTGACTGGCCTGACTCAGCGCTTCAGATCTCTGCTCATCGAGCTGCGCCGGTGCGGCTGTGGACTAGGGGGGCCGCTCGTTCCTGGACTCCTGCCGCTTGGCTCCTGTTGCTTTTGGCAGATCGCGAGGCTTGGAAGTCGACAACGCGGCCTGAACGATAACCGCCGAGACGCAAAAACACCACACAACACCCTGCCGATGCTGTGTGTACAGTAAGGCACCGAGCAAGAAAGCTGAACACTGTTCACTGCCCTTGTTCTGCAGAAGTAAGAGTAAAGAAGTAAACTCTTAAAATCTAAATCGAGATAGAATCATTTACAAAACCCAACAAGCACAGAACTCTTCCCAGGCAGTCACCCAGAGCCCTTCCACTGGAGGCAGCAGCGCCTCAGGATTGCCATGCTGCTCCTCGGGGATGGCGTGTTCCTATTAAAGTGGCCACACCCTGCCCACTTCCTCGGGAAAGACAAGGCGCCCGGACGCAGACGCAGAGACGGCGGCTGGCACGGGCAGACGGGGACGGAGGAGGCTGGGACCTGGAAGGAGGGCCTCTGGGTGAAGTTTCCCAAACCTGTCTCCATGACAACACGTCAGTCACCGTGGCGCAGCACAAACAACAACACGGGGAGACAGGGGAGCGGGGGAGGGGGAGAGGGGGGGTCGCATGTGAGAAAGCTGCTGTGAATGTGCCCTTCTTTTTGTGCACTGCACAACAATGCCGGCCCCACAGCGCAGCCCTGCTCATTGTCTGCGGGGTCTGTGGGGGTTGAATGGGGCTGCGGCCCTCACCCCCGCCCGCCCGCCGCCCGCGCAGGCCCTGGTGCTCTGGCACAGCGCCAGCGGCCCCCGATCTGCCCCACACGGCCACTCCTCCTCCCGGCCGCCCCCTCTGCCGTGGGAAGCGTTTCGCGTGCCTGGGCCTGGGCCTGGGCCTGGGCCTGGGCCTGGGCCGCACGAACGCGCTGGCTGGACGTGGGCGGTGCGCTGACCCCTGGGATGACATTCCCCACGGGGCACCCTGGACACGGGGTCGAGGAACAAAGAGCAGAGGAACGGCCACTCAGCCCGCAGGTTTCCAGAAGGATAAAGACTGAAGCCAACTCGGTTTCAACAAAACACGCACGGAATAGCGAGATGAAAGAAGAACTCCAGCCATTTCCACACGGCCCATCGATTCGGGGAGAGTTCATCAGGACAGCTCCTGCGTGTAGTCACAAACCGTCGTGGGCGAAAAACAGACATTTGCATGACCTCTGCTATATCACCCACGGTCCTTATCAAAAAACACACTGGACTGTGTTAAAAGGGCTTTTGTTCGAGTTCACTTGCACAAGCACTTTCCTGACTGCAGCGTCATTGACAACTCCGTGCGACACTGAGATGATTATTTTTCCCACAGATATAACCTCTTTTCTCCACAGCGGGTGTAAAGACTCCTGTGTGGAACAATACTTCCCACCACACTGTCCAAAAGACTAAAAGACCTCCCTCCCCTGCTTATTAGCCAGCAGCAGGACTGGCTGAAATGACGCAGACATAGAAATGACGCTGAAAAACACTGCCCATGCGGCACATGAAGTCTGCACAGAAAAGTCGGTTTCACACACGTGTCTAGAAGCTAAGGAGGGAGAGACTCCACATCGCTGCAACGTGGGCCGTTTTCAGCCTCCCTTCCTTTCTGGGCAGTTCAGAACCCTGGGCTGGCGTGAGAGCGCTGCAGAGTCTGGCTCGGAGAGCAGGGATAAAAAAAGACTCTGCACCGTATAATTAGGGCCAGGGAGAGAAACCAAACAGAAGCGCACTCTCCAGAGGAGAGCGATCAAGGCTTCCAGTCCGTGTTAAAGGAGCCGTACCGAAGTGCTCGAGGACTGCTGCCCTGCTGTGTGCGTCTCACAACACCCACCGGGCCAGGAAAACTCTCATCTCCTCGTCACCCAGCGTCTGCAACACCGGAGGGCACACGCACGCACACACTTTACACCCTCAAACACTTACTCGCTGCAGCGCATTACCATGGGAACCTCATCACATCCCACGGCTCAGACCAGACCCGACACCAAGAGATTCGGGAGACAGACACAGAGACACAGGACAGGAGGGAAAAACGGAGGAAGCCGACACACATTCGCTGCTTTTAAAAGACTGCCCTTGGTTCTCTCCGTCGATGAACGCCACATGCTGGATGTATTCCAGACGTTAAATGTTTTTAAAGAACGTCATTAAATATTAAAGACTGAGAGAGCAGTCAAAATGAGTACAGAGAGCACAAAGGATATATAGACCCATGTACACAAAGTGCTCTCCACATCACACTGAAGCCCAACAAAACTTCCCTCGATCAAAGTTAAAGGTGCCCCTAACCAGGAACTTTAGGCCACGTCTGTAAAAACCGATTTGCCCGAGAGGAGACTGATGCCAGATTCCTCCTCTCCGCCAGGCAGGAAGCGGCAGACCCAGCGATGAGCGTGTGGGCAGGGAGCGGAGATCCATTCGCTCGCCTCTTACCATTTCGTCTGCTTCGCTCCCATGGTGCCGTCTGACCTCTAACCTCCCAGGAAACCTCTCTTGGCCACCCGAGTCACGGCACAGTCCCGCTCACGCCATCGCCCCCCAAAAAGACACACACCGGCAGCCGTGGGGCAGCAGAGGACTCCAGGAGGGGCTGCTAACAATCCGGCAAAACCAAAAACTGGGGAGTCCTGACGGGGCTCCTGTCGCTGCCTGGTCCCGGCAGGGCGAGGGCACGGCGCTGGAGGCTGTGGGACCGGCGCTCCAGCTGGCAGCCACATCTGGCTGAGCTTCCTGACCACTTCCCCCAGGATCCAGAGCCCAATCCGGATCACACACAAAGGCGGGACAGCACCCTCTCTCAGGACAGGGGGTGACAGGCGCTCCAGGGAGCACGGGAAAAAGATCCTGGAAGCCGTGAGCCTGCGGAGCCCGGCTCTGCTCCCAGCCCCTGTCTGCTGAGCCCCGGCTGCCCCGAGGCCAGGAGAGAGGTCGGCTCTGTGCCTCCTGCTTTCTCCGCTCAGACTCGTGCTGTCGCGCTGAGCTCCTTCTCCGTCCTACTGCTGGGAGCTGGCAGCTCCAGCCCGGCTTCTCCCTCTCCCTCCTCCCTCTCCCTGTCTGTGCAGAGATGTCAGGCATCATCCCTCCCCCTCCGCGCTCTCTCCCTCCGCGGGGGAGATGTGTTTTGGCGGAGGAGGAGGCGGGGGTTGGGGAGGGGGAGTGTCCCACTCCAGTAAGGCTGACAGATCCTGGCCTGGACAGTTTGTTCGGTGGATTTTAACTCGATCATCTCACTACAAGAGGAGGTTTATCCTCAGTGACAGAGCTCACAGAGACAGGCGATCTGTCACAAAACAAGAGCTCACTGAAAATACTCCTGCTTTATCATCCGGGGGTTGTTCTGGTCGTTGGATTATGCAATGCTATTATGCTGTGTTCTGGTTGATTCCATTTCATCCTCTTCATGTGGATGATCCTGTACTGTCAGTATTTTACAGGCCATTGATTTTGAGTTGCATGGTTGCATGGCACTCCGGTTGGCACAGCTCTACAATCCTGGCTTCAGTTCTGGACCAGGCTGCCATCTGTGCTCACGTTGGCCACCCTCATCCTTCCACTTCCAAAGAGGTGCTGGTTAGGATCACCGGTGTCTCCAAATTACGGCTGTGTGCTTATGTGTGTGTGTGTTTGCATGTGTGTGTGCATTTGCATGTGTGTTTCTGTGTGTGTTTGCACGTGTGTGTGCATTTGCATGTGTGTTTCTGTGTGTGTGTGGTTGTGTGTGTATTTGCATGTGTGTGCGCATTTGCATGTGTGTTTCTGTGTGTGCTTGTATGTGTGTGCCTGTGTGTGTGTTTGCATGTGTGCTTGTGTGTGTTTGTGTGGGTGTGCATTTGCGCATGTGCCTGTGTGTGTTTGCATGTGTGTGCATTTGCACGTGTGCCTGTGTGTGCATGCATTTGCGTGTGTGCGTGCTTGTGTGCATGCATGAGTGGGTGCCCTGCGATGGACTGGTGCCCCATTCAGGGTGCAGTCTGTCTGTCCTCCGGTGTCCCTGCATGGGCCCTGGGCTGCTGCAGCCCTCACCAGGAGCAGGTGACTCTCAGATACCGGAGGTCTGGAGGGACGGCTGATTTGAAGCCGCCTTGGGTAAGAGTGTTGTCTGAGTAAATGAGAAAGTCAGGACAACAGTGGAGTGTGCCCCAGGAAGTGTGCGCCCCGGGAACGCCCAGTGCTGGACTGGCTCACAACGTGCGGCACCGATCCCAAGAGAAAGTATCAGACCCGCGGAGGACGGGAGGAGGGAATGAAGACGTCTGCCTGTGAGAGCAGAGCAGCACAGAGCTGGATCAGGGATCAGCGGACCCCTGGGGAGCCTGCATTAGCGATACAGGGGCTCAGGCTCAGTCACTTTATCCTTTATGAGGATAAACTATCTCTATATACAGGGATATAATACCTATATATCTGTGGCTTATCTTAATCATATAAAGATACAATATTTAAATATCATAAGAATGATGTATATGGGTATATACTTTTTATCTGAGGAATAATATATATAGAAATATACTATCTGAGGAAGGATCTATATGGGGATATAATATCTATAGTGAATATCAAAAGTCTACACACCCTTATTGAAATTTCAGCTTTTGTTGATGTTAAGGCTGGAGTCACATCAGACATCTTTCAGACTTTAATAAAGATCTTGTAACCAACAATATTTAAGTGAAAAACAAATGGATAATTCTTAGAAAAAATAATTAAAACAAAAAAAATGTTCAATGCCTTGGTTGCCCTGCTCTCTGATCCCCGGCCTCTCTCTCCCTGTCTGTGTGTCTCATGGAGGGCAAGCTGGGGTCTGAGAAAAAGACAAATTCCTAATGCAAGAAATTGTATAGGGCCAATAAAGTGATCTTATCTAATAATCATGTTGTGGACCATGGGATCTTATTGTTAAAAGGTACAGATTAGGAGAGGGATATAAAAGAATTTCAGAGGCATTACATACTGTACATCATGGAACACTGTGAAGACCATGATGAAGGAAATATGGACCTCAATCCTATAGAACAATCTGTGGACTGACCTAAAGAGGGCTGTGCACAGGATTTGCCCTCAAAATGTGACTGAGCTTGAACTCTTCTGCAAAGAAGAGTGGGATAAAATTGCAAAATCCAGGTGTGCTAAGTTGATAGATACCTATCCAAACAGACTTACTTTGTGCTTCCAAGAAGTATAAGTTAAAGGGTTTGCACACTTATGCACTGGCATTGAAAGTTTTGTATTTTCAAGTATTTTTTCCTAAAAACGATCCATATTTTATTCACTTAAATATTGTTGGTTACAAGATCTTATTAAGGGTGAAAAAAGGTCTGACATGATTTGTCTGCATTTCAGCATTTACGTCAACAAAAGCTGACATTTTAATAAAGGTGCATAGACTTTTGATATCCACTGTATATATATCTGGGAATTATCTATATTGGTATATACATTTTATGTATCTGAGGAATTACCTATATGGGGGTATAACAATTATATATATATGTGTGTAATTATTTATATAAAGACAGTTGAACAATTTGTTGGAAAATACATGCTCTGATGCCACCCCTGGACATCATCAGTGATGTTACCTGGGGTCACTGAGTGTTTCGGGTCTTTCAAGATCAGACACCTTCGCCCAGGTGACCCCAGCTTGTGTCCAGGGGGCATTGTCACCCACAGATCACTCCTCTTGATCCACAGCCATCCTGAGCCTCTTACTGCAGGTGTAATATGTGAATGATCTATGTTTAAATGCTGTCTGTATACCTGAGGACTGATTTATATGGGTATTTACTATATATCTGAGGAATGATCTATACACATACAGTATATACTATCTGTATATCTGGGGAATGATCTACATTGGTACTGTGTATACTCTCTATACTGTATATCTGGGAATGATCAATGTAGGTATTTATTATCTATATACTGCATCTGGGGAATGATCTATATGGATATTTACTATCTATACATCTGGGGAATGATCTATATGGGTATTTACTATCTATATATGTGGGGAATGATCTATATGGGTATTTACTATCTATATATGTGGGGAATGATCTATATGGGTATTTACTATATATCTGGGGAACGATCTATGTGTATCTGCTGTCTGTATATCTGGGGAGTTGCTGTCTGTATATCTGGGGAACGATCTATGTGCGTATTTACTATATATCTGGGGAATGATCTATAATGGGGAAGTAAACAGTGAGTACAAGGGAGAGCCTTTTAAAGCAGTAACTCATCTATCGCAGTGCCCTGCTGGGGTTTCACTGCTCCTGACCCATTCTGACAATGGAGCCTCAGAGAGGCAACACGCTGTGCAGCTTCCCCTGCGACAGGACGGAGCGCGTGCTGAGCCGACGCCCCCTCGGGGCCTGCGCGGGGCGTCAGAGCCACATCTACACACTCCGCGGCTTGTTCAGCTCGCCACGCAGAACACGGCCGGGGGCGCCCCTGGCGCAGTGGGGGAGGGGCTGTGCTGTCTGCCAGCCGCTGCCCGCTGGGTCAAAGCCTGCACACCACCAGCTCCAGCGCCCGCTTGCCAGATTCCAACAGCCCGCTCTGAATTCCTCTTCCGCCAGGAGAACCGGCGGCCGGTGTGACTCTGGGCCACGGGACACCTGCAGCTTCTTTACACTCTTCCCACAGAGCTCTGCCACTCGTCTGGTTTCTCCGATCGTGCCTCCATGACGCTGCTCCGCGCTTCAGTCCTCACTCCTCACTGTGTCTCACTGCAGCACAGCCTCCCCTGACCCAGCGGTCTGACCCGCCTGCCCCACTGCTCTGAGTTACTTCCCCTCAGCCTGCGGGCAGCGCCGGGGCTCCAGACAGTCAGGGAGGGAAAGGCACTGCTGGGCCAAGGGACCCCCAGATTGTCACGGTGAAGGTGGGGGTACACTACCAGCCCAGGCCGGAGGTGGGGGTACCCTACCAGCCCAGGCCGGAGGACCGCCAGATTGTCACGGTGAAGGTGGGGGTACCCTACCAGCCCAGGCCGGAGGACCGCCAGATTGTCATGGTGAAGGTGGGGGTACCCTACCAGCCCAGGCCGGAGGACCCAGGATCACTAAATTATTTTGGAATCGCCCACAGTGTGCTTTTCACATCTGACCCGGGCCGGCCCGTCAGGCCCAGGGCGGCGCGACAGAGCGGAGGGAGCTCTCACCCGGACGGCAGGGCCTCGCTGTCCCCCGCCGGCGCCTCCCTCTGGCCCTCGTACTGCTGCACCAGTGCCCGCACGCTCCACGACGGGTTCTCGATCTCCTCGTCCACGCTGGAGCTCCGCCTGCGGGCACAGGGACACGCCGAGGTCAGACCGGCGCCCGGCGGAGTTTTGCACTCAGAGCGTTCAGTATCTGAGCACTGTGAAGCACTGAACTGTGTGTCGCAGATGGTTTAACAGCGGTTTCTTTTTCCCATGTCACAAGTCCAGAATCCCAGAATCCTTCAGCTCTCGCCAGGCAGGGATGGTGCCCTGCTGCAGTACAGGCCAGTGGCCACTGGAGGGCAGTCCAGTCCTTCCAGGCAGAGCTGGATCCTTCCCAGACAAGGTCCTGTTCTCAGTAGAGAACTCACTGCACAGAAAATCTCATTGGGCGATTTTAATTAAAGGCTGCAAAGCCTAGATTCATTTTGAAAGAATAATTAAGACAGGTTAGAGTGACTGACTAATTACAGGGCTTGAAATTCATTTTGGAAAACGAGGTGGGAATTCCCCCTTTACATGAAGCTCATGGGGGGGGGGTTCAGCATCTTGGAGGGGAATAATAGTAGACTAATGAGTGTATTGAAATAATTCATACACAACACGAGCTTCATAAGCTCATTGTAAATACTGTCCTACCTTGTTGTCAATCTGTCTTTCACTGCCAGCCTCCTCTCCACTGAAGGTACAAGAACATAACAGGTTGAACTATAGCGTTAACCGATTCCCGTTCGTCCGCCCATAACGAATACGAGATGTGGAACGACACCAAATCATTCAGAAGGGCTGTCTACAGGCTGGGAAAACTCAGTCTGACAGAGAATACGTGTGGATTGATTTAGGCTAGTTCTACTTGGCAGACAGTTTGCCGATAAATGCGATAAATTATTAATGCTGGATTTGCAGGAATAACTAAAATTGTGCGGCATACCCACAATCCCATGCCGCAATTCAAGCCCTGGAATTACGTGTTATGTGTCCATGGTTTAGGCAAGTGAAAACGTCCTCCTCAATGTTTCAGGGAGTTAATTAGGGCAGTCAGACAGTCCCATTCCAAAGCAGTATAAGCCTATTCCAGGTCCCAGACCACAGACTGTAGTCAATAAGCCGACACCAGGTATAGAATATGTCCTGCTCCTTACATATTTAGCTGCATTGTGACATTTCCTATGGTGGGCTGTAAGTTCAAAGTTAACAGATAAACTTCCTTTTCCTTTGCTGCCGCACAGCTGAGCTTGCAGAAGAGCCAGACCTGAGAGGCTCGCCCCCGGCCAGCCCTGTGGCAGCTGGGATCCAGAAGGACTCGGGCGTGTGGTGCCCCTGTGCCTGGTGTCGCCCAGGAACGCTGTGGACGTCTCCCACGAGCCTGGTGGCCGGTTGCCGGTGAGTCGTTAAAGCAAAGGCCAAGGTGAGACTCGTTGCTGGCCAGGGAGTTACTCCTCGCTGTGTTCCGGATTAAGATCTGGCGGAGACCCTCCTGTCACCTGGCCCCCAGCTGCTAACCAGCAAAGAAGCCCGGCGGGCTGGGGAGCCTCCTCTTGCTTGTGTTATGAACCTTTCAAAATATTTTTGATTTACTAGAACCATGGTTCTCAAACTGTGGTACGCGGAGCGCCCCCCAGTGGTACGCCAGACGACCCTGGAAATTTGTGGTGTGCACTGAAAAATTGGGATGGGTTTTCATATTTTCTATATGAAAACCCATTTTGCTACCAACAAAAACAACAGGAGAGCACATACAGTATTTCAGCTTCTGAATGAATGTATCGAAGAGAATGTCATAGGCTGGATAAAAAGCGTCTGAGTTTGTACAGACGGTGCTAGAGTGATGGCAAGCCGACACAGCGGTGTAGTTGCACGACTTAGAGAGGTTGCTCCAGACATGAACTGCAGCATCCACCGTGAGGCCTTGGCAGTCAAGAAAATGCCTGACGATTTAAAACCTGTTAGACTCTGAATGAATTCACATCTGCTTTGCTCGACTCAACAGGCTCACCCCTCTCACTGAAATGGTGCTTTTTTATTGTTTATTTTTAATTGTTGTTGTTCCTGTTGTCATTCTGTAGGCTTTGAGAAGCCACCTTTAAAGGTGCTATATAAAATCAAGTTTATTATTATTATTATTATATTTATTATATGTGTGTGTGCGAGTGTGTGTTGGTCATGGAGATTTTCTGGGGTTCCTATGAGAAGGTGACTTGTAGGTGGTTCTTGGATGCTTTGGTTTGATCAGGGGTGGCACTTGGTCCAAAAAGTTTGAGAACCACTGTACTAGAATATTCATCATTTGTAAATTACATTGCTTTATGTAAATAATTAGTGTTATCTTGAATTTTCTTGACCAGAATTTACTAGAATGATTATTTAAATGGTTAAAAAGGAGCAAGCGACAAAAAAAGGTCAAGACCTCCGGGGGGGAGTTTGAATTCACCAGAGAGAGAAACGGACAGAGTTTGAGCAGAGAGGGATTCAGCCTGTTTGGAAAGTAATTTTATACTAACGAAGAGGATTTCTATAATATATATTTGGATTTAGTGTTTATCGAGGGATATTGAAGTTTGCCTCTTGTGTATCTGTTTTGGTGGACACCAACTGAAAGGGAAATCCTAGAAACAATTTACAGAACAGTGACGACAGCGCATTGACAGATAGGGACAGATAAGTGAACTTTTGTGTTTTTTCTTTACTCACTCTAAGTTGTATTTATAACTGTAATTGTAATTATTGTTTTGTTTTGTTATAGTAAATAAATAAGTAAATATAATTCATAATAATAATTGCTTACACTTATATAGCCCTTTTCTGGACACTCCCCTCAAAGCGCTTTACAGGTCATGGGGAATCCCACTACCACCACCAGTGTGCCGCCTCCACCTGGATTATTAAATAGAATATTAAAAAAATCGCTGACTGCTTGTATTTTTCTGTGTCCTAACACCTGCAGCCCTTCCTGCGTGACAGGCAGTTAGTCGCCCCGGGCAGCTGCAGGGACAAGCACGCTGGAGCCGGAGCAGCAGGGCCGCTGCAGTCACACGGCGTGAGGCTGGGAA